ACCGCCTATTAATTTCATATTTTGTAGTGATTTGCTCAGGGTTCTTCTGAGACATTGTACACTGCAGCTTTTCTAATTGTTGTTTCTCCTCCCGTGTCAATAAAAAGACAAAAGTAGTACAATGTTCTCTTTCATCCCTTTATAAACCTCTATACCCAGTTTTACATCTCACCCATCTCACAAGAATGGCCTGGATAATTCCTCAACAGATACCCATCAAAGCTAAGAAAATCAGCAAGAGGAAAAAACAATCAACTAAGAAGAAGACTGCCACCCCTTTCCCCATCCTTCCTCAGGGTGTAAACTTTTTTAAAACATCTTCGTTGATCTCCCTGCCCGCTTCCTTCTCCTTCTCTGTTCCCTTAGCCGCTCTTCTCTTCATACGAGCCGCGCTTCTTTTCATACGATAAGTAATCCTTATTTTGCCCACAGCCATGCTGTTCTCAGTTCTTCCCATCTTTTCTTTGCCTGGAATCACTCCAGTAACTTGGCACCAACACTCTTTGCTCTCTAAAACGATCGCGGTCCTCGTTCACGCAACCGTATCACTCTTCATGAAAGCTTTAGTTTTGGTGCCCCGTTTCTTAATGTTATCCTTGCCTCATGCAATGGCCTCCTACTTTTATCTAATCAAATGACTCAAAGTATAATCATAACCAATCTAGTCACAAAGCAATGTCGATTTTTCCCCAAACCCTTAGCTGGACACTTACTCCCCAGACCCGTGTATGAACGTGCTGGCCTATTTTGGCAGTGCCTTTATGGTCTTACCTTTGATCCCTCTTCCAACCACTACAAGCTGGTACACTTGTTGTTGGATTCTGCGAGTTTGATGTTGTGTGAGATCCTTACCTTGGGAGTGTCGAATTGTTATTGGACGGCTGTCAGTGTCCCCAAGCTTAGTCGTCATGGTGCGAGCATCAATGTCAATGACTGTCCAGTAAGTATCGGTCAAATCTTATACTGGGTTAATGGGAGTTTTAGTAAATGCTATACTACCACTGTGTTCGACCCTTCAGAGAACCATATCATGTCCATGGACGTGGGAAGAGAGGAGTCTAAAGGGTGAAAGCCCCAGCTTATGCTAAGGCCTTATGCCGACTCTTCGAGTTAGGTTGACATTTGGCATTGCTTAGTTTTGATCAGGTTATGGTTGATATTTGGGTTTTAGAGATTTATAAGGAGGTGCTGGTGAAGAAACATAGTACTATGAATAAGAGGTTAGTGAGATACTTGGGGTCCGATGGATTCTTAATGCAGTTTGAGCTGAGTTCTTCTCTGCATGATGGGAAGGTGATCATCTTCAAGTCTAGGAGCACTGTTTAAGTATGATGTTGAGGATGAATCTTTTGCACATGTGAAGACTCATTATGGCTATCTAGGAATGACTCCTCTAAGTAATCCTTTTGGTCATGTTGATAGCCTTGTGTGGCCATGAAACAAATGAAATTATATTCCTGCGTTATTTGAGATAATCCAATGAAATAAGTGGTAATTAGTTTAATATTTCTATAGATGCATTCCATTTTGTTGACTTTTGTCTAATGAATACCTTTCTTTCAATATATATCCTTCTATGAAATTCTAAGTTAAGCAAGACAAATCCCTTGATGTATATCATCCTTTATTTACATGGCACAGGGAATAAGTTTTGTATTAATAGTAAGCGTTTAACTCATTTGTCATAAATGCATATGATGTAGTATTATCATCATTATAATTTTTGAATGGTGTACTCTGTTGTTTCTTAATGTAGTTTTTTTCTCTTGAGGAGTAAAAGAAGATTGCTATTGCGTTGATTTTCCAAAGACTTATTTTTTGGTTGAAATCTGAAATTTACTTGGAATTGATAAGCTTTTGTGCGTCTGTAGTAGTGCTTCTTAGCTACTATAGTATATGTATTGTCATTATGTGTCTAATTTTATTCATTATTTTTCTTTTTCATATCAATAAGGTGGAAAATTCTAACTCTTACACCTAACAGGACAGAATATGTAGATGTGGTGTTTTGCCTAGAACTTGTAAGCTCATCTGCAAGTGTGGTGTTATATAACAGTGTGATATTGTAAGGTTCATGTTAGCAATATATACGCATATATTGCAATATGTTTTGTAATATTAGTTCTGCACTTTTAACCCAAAGACGTCCGTTGCTACTTGCTATTAGTATGTTTCTCTAATTTTCAAAATCTAATTCATGATTCAAGATGCTATTCTTACTTGTGAAGCGATCTTAGTGGAAAATGTTCTCCATAAAGTTATTGTCAAGTTACTATCAAAAAAAAAAAAAAAAGTGGGAGAAGGAGGAGGGGGGGGGGGGGGGGCTGATATCAGGGAAATAAGGCCATAAGGAATGTTCAGGCAGTTTGCCTGTTTTACATGCATTGAACATGTTTGTTTTCTGGATTAGCAGTTTTATGTAACTTATAAAGATTTTCATATTGCTTTCCCCCCCCCCCCCCCGCACCCCCCCCCCCCCCCCCCCGGGGCGACGGAAAACAACATCATAGGCCATTCTGCAGAAACCCTTTGATTGTTAATTTGTATACAAACCACCTTCATAATGGTTTTTTGTTGCAACCTATCACCTGGAAACACTTTCATGTCAAGTTTTTTCGTTTGCTGTAATAATTAGTTGGAGAGATTGATCCTTAATCGAGGCTAGGTTGGGTCAATTACCCAAAAAAAAATCTTAACTGAAAAGTGGGCCAGGTGATTGGTTGCAACAAAAAACCATTTCAAAAGAATGACTATTTTAAAAGTGGGTTATAGGAGAAAAAACCCCTCTTCTTTCTATAGTATTTTGCATCCAAATGGCAACTTCCAGATTCAGGATCTAGCAGATGTTTTACCAATCAACCATGAGTTTTTTCTTTGCCCATTGATCTCAGTGTAGTAGGCTGCTGCTATTGCATTTTATTGTAGTTAATACGTTGGATTTAATATTTTCTATTTCTGATTCTATTCTGTTAAAGTTGTAACTATTGAATTCTCTAGTTTGAGTGTATGTGATGCTGTTCTTGAACATTTAACGTTTTAGGCACTGTCTTATTATATTGAGTTAGAATCATAAGCTGGATCTAATGATTTTCTTTATTTCTTCTAGCAATTCGTCTTGGTGATTCTTTTCTGTTCAAGTTGTGACAATATTTTCACTAATTTTTGTTCCTTTTAGGACTTGTTCAAAAATGAAACTCAGTACATTGTTGTTCTTGGAAACGAGTGCCTCAAGCATGAGCTTTGTATTCAGATTATGATAAGGTTCTAAACCCCCAATCCGATCAATATGAAAGGAAGTTTTTCTGGTTACCCGAGGTGGCATATCAGCTTCAGGTCATAGAACCACCTCTGAGGAACCAAGCGACGAGAAAGAGGTTAGTGACTATTTGCAAGGTCGTGAACTATGCTGAAACTTTATGATGAATTGAGTAGAATATGATGAGGTTATTAAGATCGGAATGACAACAACGCAAATCAGATGAATGTGATAACCCTGCATTGTTCGCATCTGCATCAGGTGCAACAAGACAGGAGTTCAGGCTAATTGATCAAGTGCCAGTTACCGTTCTGTTATCCAATCACGATAAAATCTCCAGTTATTGTCATATGACTATAAAAAAAAGTATAAATATCCTCTCCATGAGGTGAAGATAAGCGCAAAAGAAACTGTAGGTCCCTTTGCTTCTGGATCAAGAGTCTGACTTAAGCATTGAAGGGATGACGTTGAGGAATAACCGTTGGAGTTCACCCTGATACTTCTGTGCCGATCTATAGGACATCCTTGGCTAATTGATCTTCCTGGAGTACAGATCTTATCGGCGTTTTGCATGAATATCTGAACTGAGCTAGTCAAACAACTTCAGCGTTCATCGACAACTTTATCTAGTTGAAAGGACTGGATGTTATTATTGAGCTAGTACAGCAAGGAGGTAACTATAATTTTTTGCACCGTAGTAGTTAGACCATGACTTAGAAATCAAATATGATAAAACATGAGTCTTTTTGTGCCTAGTAGACAAACATCAAGATCACAATAGAAAACCATGGGTAGTTACATCAGAAAACACAGGTTACGTTAACAAAGGCCTGCATCTTTATTTTAACAACACTGATTACTTCAAAGAGTCCATCATAAAATCTAATGAAGCATGGCGTACATAAACAAGAGCAATTTCACAATATATGGAAGTTCATCAAAGATGGTCGAAGCGTATTTGTCTTCAGTTTTGAGTTGTGAACTTATAAGATGCGTAAGAAATGGTGCAGTTGGTCCAACTGTGATGGATCAGTTCAGCCTTCGCCTCGTCACCGGCTGCCCCCATAGCTACATGCAGAGGGTAGAAATGGTCTGGCCATGGATGTGCCATTTTCCCACAAGGACCTTTCTCTTCATAATGATTCACATCCTCGTACCTAACAAATATGAATGGGCTATTACCATGGTATGGGGGAATCTCATTGATATAACTCAAAACAAACATGAAAGTTACGCTTACGTATCTGGATCGGTCATGTATGATAGTGATTGTTGAATGATGAACACTCAAGCATGATGTATAGTAAAGTTCTTTGCAGATGCATTCTCATACTATAAGGATATAACTACTTACCATCCGTGGTCTATTTTATTAGCTACATGCAGAGGGTTAATTTCAAATAAGTTAAGAAGTGAGGGACCTAGTAGCAATTTTTATAATTTGAGGGACTAATATTAAAATATCCTAAAAATTGAGAGACCTAATAGCAATGTTTACGATGTACGGGATTTATTCGAAAATATGCAAGATTTAAGGGACACGAAAAATCCCGTTGATTTTTTATCACTCGAGGGGTGGCTCCGCCCTGAGAACGAGAACGACGTGGGTTTTCCGTTAACTTTTAATTTTTTTGGTCAATCATCTGATACATCAAAGTTAAGCATTTGCGAAGAGCATTTGGATAATGTTCACATTTTGAATTTAGAAACTGTCAAAAGAACTTGTCACTATACTGAAACTCTCAAATTACGGTGAGAGTTGAGAGATATAACTTTATATGCTAACTTGTCCTGACAAGTTTGAGCGCAGTTTTTATGGATGGAAGCCCCGTGCCCATCGGGAATCAAATTTGGGTTGCTATGATACTATGTCAAAGATCCATGGCCACCACACCAAGACTCTGATGTCATGATATGGGTCGATGGTTATAATTTTATATTCTAATATAAAAACTAATAGGGACATCGACAAGGAGGTCAGGAGGTGGTGTAGTGATAATAAAATAGGACATGGATGATAAATATCTACACTAACTTGTTCTATTATGCAGAAAATCTGGAGGAAAAGTACCTTCCGTTGAGAAGCGATTCCTTCAGCCAGGTATCGAAATCGAGGGCCCAAGTCGCAATAGGGCCACCATCAGGCCCGATGGCCCTCAAATTATGAGTAGCATTTCCAGACCCCATTATAAGTACTCCTTCCTCCCTAAGGGGAGCCAATGCCTTTCCCATGTTATAATGGTACGTGCCGTCCCTCCGGCTCTGGACCGAGAGCTGACACACCGGAATGTTAGCCTCCGGGTACATGAGCATGAGCGGGACCCACGCACCGTGGTCGAGGCCTCTGTTCTCCTCTTCTTTCACCTTGCCGAAGCCTGCGTTATCCAGGAGTTGCTTTACCTTCTTGGCTAGATCGGGTGCTCCTGGTGCAGGATACTTGAGCTGAAAATGAGAGGATCAATATCATTCAGATTCCTACATGATGTAAGTAAATAGTCAAAAAGTTAACTCAGAGGGATATTTTTTATTGATTAATGCCCCGGGGACTCCAAATAGGGGGCTCAAGGGGGGGGACATGGGAGCTGTCTCCCTCCGGTTGGATGATGCACTGTTCATGAACAATGCATCATCCACTAGAAGTGCATTTTTTATTTACTTTTGTTTTATCCTAACCTGAGAATCTTATTGGTGGAGGTGCAATGATCTGGGGAAAAGATGGACTGCAGTTGCGGGTGTCTCCTGCAGGATTTATGCTATTAACTACCTGGGACACCACTAGAATTAGGACATAACATTAAGGAGGATAAAATTATAAAATTGGCAATGCCTATACTTGAATGTATCAATCTATATGACAGACACCACTGAGACGAAGTTCTAGTTCCGCCAACTAAGTAAATAGTCAAAAAGTTAACTCAGAGGGATATTTTTTATTGATTAATGCCCCGGGGACTCCAAATAGGGGGCTCAAGGGGGGGGACATGGGAGCTGTCTCCCTCCGGTTGGATGATGCACTGTTCATGAACAATGCATCATCCACTAGAAGTGCATTTTTTATTTACTTTTGTTTTATCCTAACCTGAGAATCTTATTGGTGGAGGTGCAATGATCTGGGGAAAAGATGGACTGCAGTTGCGGGTGTCTCCTGCAGGATTTATGCTATTAACTACCTGGGACACCACTAGAATTAGGACATAACATTAAGGAGGATAAAATTATAAAATTGGCAATGCCTATACTTGAATGTATCAATCTATATGACAGACACCACTGAGACGAAGTTCTAGTTCCGCCAACTAAGTAAATAGTCAAAAAGTTAACTCAGAGGGATATTTTTTATTGATTAATGCCCCGGGGACTCCAAATAGGGGGCTCAAGGGGGGGGACATGGGAGCTGTCTCCCTCCGGTTGGATGATGCACTGTTCATGAACAATGCATCATCCACTAGAAGTGCATTTTTTATTTACTTTTGTTTTATCCTAACCTGAGAATCTTATTGGTGGAGGTGCAATGATCTGGGGAAAAGATGGACTGCAGTTGCGGGTGTCTCCTGCAGGATTTATGCTATTAACTACCTGGGACACCACTAGAATTAGGACATAACATTAAGGAGGATAAAATTATAAAATTGGCAATGCCTATACTTGAATGTATCAATCTATATGACAGACACCACTGAGACGAAGTTCTAGTTCCGCCAACTAAGTAAATAGTCAAAAAGTTAACTCCGAGGGTCTATCTGCAATAATATAACTGCAAGGGTAGTATCTGGCAAGTTCAGAACAATGATAACCATGGGGTCTATGCGCAATTAACCCTTCATCTTATTAGTTGACAGATGGAAAGAAAAAAAAAAGTTGCATTTTATGGATCATGGTAAGCATTTTTTATTGTTGAAGTGCAAGTCTTCCCCTACATTCTGTTGTTTACTAATAAATTTGAAGCAAACAATTCATTGTCAAATAATTAAGCTCCTTATCTCACTATTAGTCTCTCCAAATTTCCGGCTTTTTCCAATCAAAATTCTTTGAGCTATCTTTCTTCAATATCTTGCAAGCTCAACTGGGTTGGTTGCAACTCCAGTTACTGCAACTGGGTTAATTTTGTCCACTTATAAGTATTTGCTTTGTTGCAACTCATTATTGCAGTTGCAAAACACCCTTTAGTTGCAACATATAACTTATGTCCAGAATGATTGCAAGTCATAGTTGCAACTTTAGTTGCAACTAACTCAAATTTTAAAAAAACCAAAATTTATTACTTAATATTTCCATAAAATCAAAGAAAATTTATTAGTTTAAAAAATTTAAGAATTATTACTATTTCTTCTTCAAAAAAGCTTTACTTCAAAAATAAAGTTATTTGAAAATATTTATCTTGAAAATTGTGTTTGCAAAAAGAATTTATTTTTTGAAATTATTTTATAATATAATATTTTGAAATATACCTTTTTAAAAATACTATTTGAAAATTTTTCCTTTGAAAAATATTTATTTTTTAAAAATAATATTTTCAAGAAATATTTTTTAAGAAATATTATTTTTGTAAAAATAATATTTTCTCAAAATATTGTTTTTAAAAAATAAAAAAATAAAAAACATTATTATTTTTGAAAAAGTAACATTCTAAGTTGCATCAGTAAAAATACTAGCAGGATCAAACAGATGCAATTACAAGCCACAAAATTTAAAATTTTAACCAAATAATTACAACTACAGTTGCATGTAAGTATAGTTGTAACGTATCAGTTGCATGCAAGTGATACTTATGTTGCAACTATAGTTGCGAACTATCAAACGTCCAATTAAGGTACATGCTCATTTGTTCCCCCCATCATTTTACCTTCTTTTTCCTATTTTCAATCATTATAATTCAATTTGAGAAATTACTTGGACTCAAAACCGTGGGACCAATCATGGCACATGCAATTTGTACCTTTGTTACTTGGTATATTACACTAAAACCCTAAGAACTATCAGCATTTTGTAGTAAATTTCTATTAACTCCAAAAATAGCGCTATAAGTTTTTGCATGTTTGCAGATAACGCATGTAACATAGTTAGTCCACACGTTGCGTTGGCAACATATTTAAATCCTAAATATGAATTGATGCTACCATGGGCGTTGTTTGCAAAAATGTAGAACATATTGGGGTCTTCTGTAATTCTAATAGTTATCAAGGCTTTGCTGTTGTTTTAGAAGTTACTGAAAGCTTAATGCCAAATGCTGAAAGTTATTCGATGTTTAGTGTAATTTACCCTATTTTTATTTATATAATGTTAATCATAATATATTTCGTTTTATGCTTTGTTATCGAATCATGTAGTTTAGTTTTCTTTATATGCTTTATTTTATTTTTTTTTTGCTTTTTTTGCTTTGGCAAAATACTTTAAATATACTTCTGAACGGGGAAAAAAAAATCTTAGCGCAAAACCTCAATGGAAAGCAATATCTTGCGACCCAAGCATATTATCAACAAAATATCAAGGGAAAAAGTATCTCTATTTTCCATAAATAATAAAAAAACAATAATAAAAAATCAACAAAACAATAAAAAATGGGAAGAAGCCGAACCTTGTACATGGCTCTAGGGAAGCCGTAAAAGTCGTAGATGGTATCGTTGACGCCGTCGACGACGTTGATGGTGGGGACGGAGGTGTCATAATGTCCTGAGATGACGAGAATAGCCCTGGGAACCTCGGAAATGACCCCCTTGTCCCTCCACGATTTCAAGAAGCGGCGAGCTGGGATGCCGTCGTCGATGCAGAGGGTCGGAGAGCCGTGGGATATGAACAAGGTCTCCATGAATGGAAAATAATGGATTTGAATTGAATTTAGGGAGAGAGAGAATTTTTGTGGGGGTATATGATATCGGAAGAGAGGTTTGTTGGTTTGCATTTATAGGGGTTGTGATGTTGCTCTCGGGATGCTAGAAATTTTTCGGGCAGGGCTGGGCTTGTAAGCGTGAAGGTATTTTAGCCTAACTACTGATAGTTCCTTCGCGTTTGCCGCTAACGGGCCTTTGAAACTTCTTACTCTTTGACTTCTTCCTTTTATAAGTGAATCTGCGAGGGGGTAAAGGAAGGTAATTCTGGACCGCTAGCTTACTAGACAATTGAGTTGCGGCGCAGGAAGCAGCTGATGAGGTGTCTCGACGAGGTGGCGCGGGACAAGGAAGATGGGCCCTCCCGGCGCAGAGTGGTTAGTGTCAAAGCGACGAACCAGGCTACTCTGCGGTGGGCTGGTGGCAGCGCGCTGATAAGCTCATAAAGACTTCTTGTGGACATAAAGCAATAATGACTATATTGTCGGAGGAATTAATGGAGCAAGGTAGGCGACTGTCGGCGCGGGGTTGCGGGAGAAATAGCTAGGCCGAGCTCGCTATAGTGGCGACCGGCGGGCGCTGAATGGGCCGACTAATGAAATCTTTCGGAATTGATATAACGCGCCGGAGTAGTTTGGTTATTCACTAGAGTATGACTCACGGTTGGGTTAGACGACAGAGTACCGTCTGCTGAACCTCCGGTTACACGAGATGTCGGCGCAAAAACAGTAGGCCGACGTCGGGTTGCATTGTGGAATAATTGAGGGGTTTAGGCTGAGTAGTAGAAACCGGCCGTTTTGCATCACGTACAGCCAAGATGTCGTGTCAATCAAGTCGGCTGTGTTGGAGGTGGAGATCTAACTTGGGGGGTCTTTGGAACTCTAGTAAGGATTAAGGGTATAGTGGTATGCTGACACGGTGTCGAGCTTCTGGGCTGTGAAGATTAATATTAAAGGTATTTTTAGGGTATGAGCAACTGTTATAGGTGTTTGGAAACATAGTTTGTTTATGATATTTTAAAATACAATTCCAAGTCATATAGTTAGCCTGAGAATGAGAATAAGTTATATTTTTTATCTTATACTAGTTGAGATGCTGACTGTGTAATGACACCGTGGTTGAATATCGAATGTTCTATGTTAATTGATAACGATAGAGTAAAAATAAGAAAAAACATGAAGTTTTTTGGTAGGGATTGATCATACAACTGGGCAATATATCTCATCTCCAAATAAAATATTAATCATTGTTTCCCTTCAACCCAGACTGTGGGGCCACGATGATGGCTGACGCTATTGTGAGTCTTATAAACATATTAATCTAATAACGCAAGCACATCGCATGTATTATTATGTCAATTGTAAGTACCTTTGAAGTCTTGCAAAAGATGAGTGATCATTCAAATTCGTAAAAAAGAATTTTGCGAATATGAATTTAGGCTGTGCAATAATAATCTGCGCATTAAAACTTGTTAAGTGTGTTTGACTCATATTCACATTAACCCTTTTTGAGTTATTGTTTTCAGGGCACTGCATATATTATATTATGCTGAATATGTGCTCATTTAATTTACTAGCTCATACTGCTCCTGTATGGGCATAGAAGTAAAACTGAAAAGTAGTGAAGGAATTTATTTTTCTTAGGCGCAAAATTAGAATAAAGAAGATTATGATATATTTCGCTGCATGCTGGCTCTAATATTTCTCTTTTCTTTGGATGATGGCAAGGTCCCTATGGCGAAATCGTGATGCCTAATAGCGATGCGAATAAAAAATGGCTATTGATAACTCCAACCATCGTGGCCTACGGTAAACATTGTAGTCTGTATTATAGGATACATAAACTGCCCATGCGCGTGTAATATCGGCCACATCTAGGGCTAAAGTGGATTTTGGTGTATGTGCTGAGATGCAACACGTTTAGAGGCTTCGTATGTCAAACTCCTGTTGAACGTGCTATAAAAGACACAAGAATTTGGAGTCGGCATAGCTTATATATGCGTCCAGCGAACATTTGATTCATAGGAAGAATTTTTTGCTGTAGGATAAACAATATTATGAGAGGAAAAAAAAACAACAATAATTGGAGCTATATATTGTATATTTTCTACAACTAAATTTAATGAAAGTATATGATAGTGGAAACGCTCGATGCCTTATACGGTGGCAGTAGGTTGGGCCTCCGCCACAAAATATATTAACTTTACTATTGTAGTTTGCTATTTGTTAGTATGTGTTTAGGCATGGTCATTACGGGCGTTTTTTTTTATTCCAATGACGTTTTTCTGATGTAAGTTCTGCTTTTGCTTAATCACGTCAATTGGCTATACTATTAGTTCTTTATAAAGCATGCAGAAAGGTTAGAATAATTCTGGCTCTAGCTTAAAAAGTGTTGATATAACTTTTTCTTGAAAAATATATACACGGCATAGTAGGCCAATAGTAATAGTACCTGTCAGTTCAAACGTTTAAATATTGGCCTTGAAGTGGCTGCATTTAGAGTGAGGTTCACTTTCTAGGGCGGGGCTAAAAATGATGATATAGTGATTACAACAGTCTAAAAGTCGAAAGGAAGAAATTTCTACAAAGAAAAAAATAAGTTAAATGTAATGCAAATTAAAGAAGTAATTTTGTAAAATCTATACCATGGGCAGTGCATATGAGCTATAAAAAGTAATGTCATATATCTTGCAGTGAAAAGAACTTCATAAGTGAGGTGAGCCCTATCATGCCGCGCGATTAATTTAAGGCAATTAATTATTATTATTTAGTTAGCTAAATTTGATAGCGCTTAACTATAAAATAAATCTCGCAAGGCAAAAATTAAAAAATTGAGATTATATTATGTTTGTAGGGTAAATACAATAATATGTTATTAGAGCATCGCGCTGGCTTATATTAAATTTAAAAAAGTAATTAATTTAAAATTATTGAAGTAGCGGCAATATTTAGGCGGGCTCATGTGATGAAAGTAAAAGTAATATAAATGGTCTACTTGAATAGCGTTTATAGTGCCAATAGCATGCAAAAACGATATTAACATTTATGATCGATCGCAAGAGTCAAGAATTCATANTATATGATTATTGTTAAGTCCAAAAACAATGAATACCATATTTTCACAAAATTGCATATTCTATGCAATATTTTCAAAACACTAAATATGATTTCATTAAATATAAGCTTGTTAAAGATGAAATCATATATAGGCATATTAATATGAAACAAAGTAGTATTTTCCAATTCTATCCATTTGTTTCATATATAAACTCAAAACCTATTAAACCAAAAAACATATATATATATATATATAATTGTATATATACTAAACCAAAACCAAGGCGTGTATGTGTGTATATGATTGAGCTTAAAGTACTAACACACATAATATAAAACCTAAAACTAATTTACCCAAGCTTGATTGGTCTTCAATAAGCTTGACTTGGTAATCTCGCGGATGAAGCTTGAACTTGATCTTTAACTTTGAATAGCAAGGCTTCACTCCACAATTCCGCCAACCTCCATTGGATATCATCGTTGAAGCTCTATTCTATCCATCCACCAACACGTTGTTTGTCTACAATACATAGGAAAACACAAATACTAGACAAACAACATTAGTAGTAAATTGTTTGTTAAACATCATCAAAACAAGAAGGCCAATAATCTCCCCTTTTTTGATGATGACAAACAATTTACAAAAAGGATATATGCATGAAGGGAAATGAATATACAAAGTATAATATATCATGCATATAAGCAAGAAAGAATATACATATACTCACAATATTTCTCCTCCTTTGACAACATCAAAAAGGGGACAAAGGAATTAAGAGAGCGAAAGCTCCCCCTATCAATGAGCATAGGTGAGTATATAAAAAAAAATATGGATTTGCTCCCCCTATCAAAATGCCATATAGAATATATGAGATGAAGATCATGGCAAACATATATGAGCAAGCATAGATGAATATGCTAAGCACTCCTCACATACGAAAAAGATAATGAGAACACATATGAATATAATTTTTTAGGGTTTGATTTCTTCGGGATCTAGAAATTTTTGCAGGCTGGCTTGAAGGTGAAGTATTTACCTACTACTATATTCTTCCTTGCCTACCCTTTGACTTCTTACTCTTTGACTTCTTCCTTTTATAGTGGATCCGAGGGGCAAGAAGGTAATTTGGACCGCGTCTAACTAGACAATTGAGTCCGCAGACAGCTGATAGGTGTCGACCGCTGACGAAGATGGGCCCTCCAAGTGGTTAGTGTCAAACGACAACAGCTACTTGGTGCTGGTGGAGCCTGATAAGTCATAAAGACTTTGTGGACTAAAGCAATAATGACTTTGTCGGAGGAATTAATACAAGGGTAGGCGACTGTCGGCGCGGGGTTCGAGAAAACTACCACCTCCTTAGTCGTACGGCTGATGGCCGACTATGAAATTTTTCGGTTGATATAACGCGCCGAGTAGGGGTTATTCATAGAGTTGACTGGTTGGGTTAGACGACAAGTACCGTCTCTTGACTCGGTTACACGAGATGTCGGCCAAACAGTAGGCCGAGTCGGGTTGCTTGTGGAATAATTGAGGGGTTGGCTGAGTAGTACCGCCTTTTGACTCAGTTACACAAGATGTCGTTCAATCAAGTCGGCTGTGTTGAGGTGGAGATTACCTTGGTCTTGAATTAGTAGGATTAGGTATAGTGTATGACACGTGTCGACTTCTCTGTGAAGATTAATATTTAGTATTTTTAGGGTATGACAACTGTTATAGGTGTTGAACATTTGTTTATGATTTTTAAATAAATTCCAGTCATATAGTACTGAAATGAGAATAAGTTATATTTTTATTTATACTAGTTGAGATGCACGTGTAATACACGTGGTTGAATATCATGTTTATTTAAATTGATAACAATAGAGTAAAAATAAAAAAAAATAAAGTTTTTTTGGTAGGATTGATCATCAACTCAATAATCTCTCTCTTAAATAAAATATTATCATTGTTTCCTTCAACCCAGACTGGGATTGATCATCAACTCAATAATCTC